GGATCGGCGGTGAACAGTAGCCTCGGCTGCTATATAATTACTCCGAAGAGAGGAAACATTTCGAATTATCACACGTTCTCATCAACATTCACCGTCCTTTCTCACTATACAGCAATAATTCCCTCAAATGGCCTCTTTATTTTGATAGAAGCTGTTTTTCCTCCTATGTAAGTATTTATAAAGTGGGGTTCGTTGAACTTTGTGCCTGCTTTCACGGTAAGAGTTTTCTCCCGGCTTCCGCCTTAGTTCACCATATTTTTCAGAGAGTGTTGACTATTATTTTAACATGACGATATGTTGGCGGATATGAAATTATCTGCCAACCAGATTAAACACTTCTGCTGCTTATGTGTTTGTTCATATAAATAAATTTTATACTTAAGGCCCAAGAGGCCCTTTCATTGCAAGCTTAGTGCTTTCGTAAAACGAAAAATACAAAATCGCTAATCACAGCTGCGCGTAAGCAACTGTTTGACAACAGGAATTAGTAGTATGTTACGCGTGGTAAGATGACAAGTTAGATCTGATTAACGACGAACTCTCTTATAAACTAATAGTCTGGGCAGTAAAAAGATCTTACATCGGTGGTTGAGTTCAGGGACCCACCGATTTCCGAAAAAATATAGGAGAAAAAACTGCCTTAATAGGTAGCATGGTATGACATGATGCAGTTAGGTGGGATTCTGCTGTTAAGGATTCGGGACGCTTATTGTCATGGGAAAAATCATATAGCATCATGGTGGTGAGTTAGGAATGGGTCACCCGGGACAATAGGATCGCATCGAGGAGGAGACAGCGGAAGTCAAGGTAACATCACCGAGATTCGACCCACCAGACTCCAGAGACAACCGACAAGTTGGCGACAACATAAGAACACGCAATGGCCATCAGTGGCGACCTGAAAGACCACCACCAAGGTTGCAAAACGAAGAAGAGTTTGCAACATTTGGAAGTCATGCTTAAGGGACCACTTTACTATCCTGGGAAGAGCTTCAAATGCCAGGAGGATCCTTTTCGAAATCTACAAGTTGCGTGTTTGGAAAGGAAACAGACAATAACAACTTTATTTTCCTTTAAATTTAAATGTTTACGTTATTTGCCTTTGAAAATCGGTAATGTAGAAGGCAATCTAATTTCGAGTGGAATATTGTTCCAAATAAAAGCATATTTAGAGGCAAAAAACGAGAATGGTCGGATGTTATTAATTTATTTATTTATGTGGAGCTAAGGGATGGTGAAATTATCACGGAGGATTAACGAGTGGCGTAGGGTTGGACTACCGGAATACGAGCGTTAATTTTTGGGAGATAAGGGCTGTTGTTAACGCGAAACAGAAAGTAGATGCCAGCTTCGAGTCTTCTTGCCTAAAGAAATTTAACGTTTGCTGAGCGACATCTATCTGTATAACAAATATTGGACCCAGAAAGAGAAAATATTTTACGAGTGAAAACTCGCTGA